GAAATTTTACTAAAGTTTGGGAAGCTTAGGAAAATCAACAAGAGACAATGCAATACTCTAAGGCTAGTAACACTAGAGAGCTATTTCTGCCTCTAGACCTAGAGAGGCAAAGGAAAGGATCAGTTACAGGAACCTGAGGAAACAGGAATAGAGAAGGTCACAGACAAAAGCTATGGCCCTGAAGTAAGAGAACCCAGCCCAAAATAAGCGAGAGAGAACAGAGGAATATCTGTCCTGACTCTACTGTCTCATCTCTGACCACCTGTTGGCTGAATACAACTGGATGCCAGATGGAAAGGATCCTACAGATGAGATTCCTACACCAGCCAACATGGAATAGATCTGCAGGACTAGCATAAGTAATCCACTTCTACTGAGGACTCTAAGATGAATGTATAAGAAACCACAAGTAGCATAGTTGGCTGGAGCAAATGGTTTATAAATGGCATTAATGGAAGAAAAGTAAAGTGGCAGAAGGAGCAGTAGACAATTAAGACCAGGCTTAGAAGCTTCAATTTTCTTTTGAGTAACAGGCAACCAGTCAAAGTACACATGTAGGAAAGTAAAATAATTCCAGGCTAATGATAGACCTTTACATAGTCAGATTGAAAGGAGTGTCACAGATAGTGAAGACCTGTTGGATCATCCTAGCAGTCCAAGTATTAAGGAGGTAGTGCAAACTGAGCCCCTACTATATTCTGGTGCCTCTCCATTTTAAGCTGAGAAAACTGACCTTCAGAAAAATAACTTGCTGAAAGACAACAACTGGTTAACAGCTACAATGGTTGCATTATTCCACTGATGAAGTAAAAATAAATGAAACCATGCAGTAGAAATAGAAGAAAACTGGGCCTTCACAGGCCCAGTTCTCCTATAACAAAGCAATCTGGTAAGTCACTTAACTCCTTCATAGCTTGATTTCCTCATCTGCAAACTAAGTACAGCTACTGAAACTATTCCTCCTGTCTCCAAGTCTCCACTGTTAACATTACTAGCCTTTAATTCATTAGCTTTCCCATCCTCAAACCAAACCAACCAATGCATGGTCCCATCAACTTCATCTTTTTTTTTTTAAGAACTTTATTTGTTGCTGGGTGCTGATGGCACCTATCTGTAATCCAGCTACCTGGAAGGCTGAGATCAAGAGGACTGCAGTCTGAGGCCATCCCATGCAAAAAGTTAATAAGACCCCCATCTCAAACAACAGCTAGGCACAGTGGCATGTACCTGTTAGCTAAGCTACATGAGAGGCTGAGATCAGGATTGTGGTTCCAGGCCAGTAAGGGAAAAAAAAGTTTTGAATATCCCATTTCAAGAGAAAAAAGATGGGCATGATGGCACGTGCCTGTCATCCCAACCAGCACAGAAAGCATAAAATAGGAATACTGCATTCATTCAGTCCTGAGCAGAGAATGAGAACCTGTCTCTGAAAGAACCATAGCAAAAAGGGCTGGAGGCATGGCTGGTATGGTAGCATGCCCATCTAGCAAACATAAAGCCCTGAATTCAAATCCAGTATCACCAAAAAAACCCACTTTTTTTAAACAGAGTTCTGTCTACACAAATTTACCTGTTTTGTCTACAAGAACACCATCTAGAATGAATACATATATTATTGTAACTATCACTTTGAACCCAACATGTTCCAGATGCCATGAACACCACTATCTTACAAACCATATAAATTAGAAAAGGATTAGCATTTCAAATTCTTTTCTTTTTAGTAACTTTTGTTAGGATATATTCATTATACAGGGAGGGGATTCTAATGTCAATTCTGATGAGGTGAATACTGTACTTTATTTACATTGCCCCCATTGTCTCTCCCCTTCAACTCCCTCTCTACACCACTTAAAGCAATTGCAAGAGGTTTCTTAGTTGTTTCATATAGGTATATGAAGTCCATCTACCATATACTGTCACCTTAATCTCCTTCCTTCACCCTTTCTCCTCCCACTAGCACCCCCCCCAACACAAACACACTGTACCTATTTTATAGTCTTCATTTTCGTTATCAATATTGTTCAAAGGGGTGTCTCAATGTATCCCCATGGTGGGCGTACTTTACTTTGCTTCAATTAACCCCTTCCATTACTCTCCCTTACCTCTTTACCTCCTAACCCCCCCCCATTTTCAACAGCTTTCAATACACATCCTTACATCCTCTACCTTCACATCTTATCTTATGCGCTATTAATGATGCTCTATCATTTTCTTTTCTTTTCCTCTTTCCTCAAGTTACATAGAGTAGTTCCACTGTTTTAAACATGTTCTACACCTGAGTTTGTATATGATCATGCTTGTTTTTGTGTATATGTTCATCTTTGGATCTAGCTTCCACATATGAGAAAAAACATGTGGCTTCTGTGTTTCTGATTCTGGCTAACTTCTTTTAGCATGATGTCCTCTAATTGCATCCATTCTTTTTCAAAGTACATGTCATTATTCCTTATGGCTGAGTAATACACCATTGTGTATATATACCACAATTTCTTGATCCATTCATCAGTTGTAGGGCACCTGGGTTGTTTCCAAAGCTTGGCTACTGTGAATAGTGCTGCAATGAACAACAGAGTACAGGTATCTCTACTGCATCCTCTTATGTTCCTTTGGGCCATCAACTTCATCTTAAATCAACTCTTATGTAGCTTCTCCCAGCTAAATCCAAATGCAGCCTCTCCAATAAATCTACTCAAGTCCAAACCCATCAACCCAGCCTGGAAGGGATAGGCCTTCCATTTTCTACAAAAATCGCATTTCCGCAAGCCACCTGTCAAACTCCTAAGCACACTGTTAATTACCATTGATTTTTAAATGGATTTAATTTTTTAAAGTAGTTTTAGTTTAACAGTAAAAAATAAGTGGAAGTAGAGAGTCTCCAAATACCACTGCCTCCCAAATCTTCACATCCTGCCCCCTAGTACATTTATCACAATGAGCTAGACAGATACATCACTACCACCCTGAGTACACAGTTTATGTTAGGGCTCACGGTTGATGTTATCCATCTCTACAGTATCATACAGAACAGTATACTGGTCCCATATATCTTCTGTGTTCCACCTAGTCAATTCCTCCTTACCTCCTAAGTACTGGCAAGCAGTGATCCTTTTTGTCGTCTCCACACTTCACCTTTTCCAGAATGTCATATTGTTAAAATCACATGGTATGTAGTCTTTTCAGATTTGCTTTTTAATTTTATAATATACATTTAGAGTCCCTCTATGTCTTTTCATGGTTTAACAGGTCATTCATTTTTAGTGCTGAATAATATGTCATTGTCTCGTTGGTCCAGAGATTATTAATCCATTTATTTACAGAAGGATATCTTTGTTGCTTATAAGGTTTAGCAATTATGAATAAAACTACCATAGACATCTCTGCAGGTATTTGTGTAGACATAAGCTCCCTTTCAAGGACTACATAATATTATATTATATATTATGATGGACTACATAATATTATATTTAGTTTTGTTCAGAAAATGCCAAAATGTTTTCTCAAGTGGCTGTACCATTTTTAATACCCACCAGTAATGAATGAGAGTTACCGTTCTTCCACTTTCTTACCAGTATTGGTGTTGCCAGTGTTCTGAACTTTGGCTACTGAGCCATCTGTGTAGTGGTGTATTCTTCTTGCTTTAATTCGCAATTCACTAATGCCATATGGTGCTGAGTGTCTTTTTTATATGCTTATGTGCCACCTGTATGTCTTTTTTGATGAAATATCTATTAGATTTTTTGGCCTACTATTTAATTGTGTCATTCCCTCAAGCCTCTCGAAGCACTTGTTAAGCAGCTCAATCCAACAATGTTTAAATCAGAGATTCTGAACCGAATGAGAGCAGAGACATCATGTTCTGGGGTGAGTCACAGTATAATGTCAGAGTAAAGGCTGTGACGCCAGAATGCCTGAATTCAACTTCTTCACTTACTAGCTGTGTGCCCTTGCATCTCAGCTTCCTCAACTGGAAAATATTTAAGTCTAATTCACAGTACTACTGTAAAGACTGAATAACTTAATCCATGTAAAGCACTTAGCACAATGCCTGTCACACTGTAAGTGCACAATCAATACAAGTATATCTAGATTCTCCAAGATGAGGCTGATGCACAGCTGGAAAAAAACATTCAAAACTATCATTGCAATAAATTTTTAATCCTGATATTTTACTTTGAAATTTAAAAAAAGATGAGTAAGCTATAATCTCATTCTCATATCCTATAATCAATTCCTAATAATTCAGATTCAAAGTTAATGAAAGGTAGTGGATACAAAGCTAGCAGGAAAAGTACAGAGTTAAAAATTTCAATGTATCAGGTATACTCTATGTGTTTGTTTCTTTGTTTTCAAAATTTCTTGTTTATAAAACAGTGAAAATTTTAAGTAAGATCATCAACTGACTTAACTAAGTAATGTAATATCATATTATTGGTCTTTATTTGTACTAATCAACTATAGGAAAATAGCCTATAAATATTTAAATTAATATTAAACTTAATATTAATTTAAATATTAAATTAAAACACAGAATTGTAGATGGCTTCTTCTCAGTGACTTCCATAAGAGTCTGTTTCAGAAAGCACTAGGTAATGAAATAATCAAAGCATCCTCTATTTTCTAGTGTTAACTACAAAATTATGCCTTGAAAAAGTACAAAAATTAAAGGCTACATTAAAAGTACTTCTAATAAAGAGAAAATTGCAACTAATTTTGCAACATGAATATGTGCTAATAAAAATGTTTATTTTAAAATTAAATTCTGTCTTCTACCTGAAATTAATACTAAATACATTTAATAGAAAAAATAAAAATAAGGTGAAAAAATAAACTATGACCGGATTTATACTTTCTACTCAATGTGTGAAGCCCAGGACAAAATCTTATACCTAAAACAATAACTGTTATGAAGATGCCCAGTAAGTGTTATCATAATGGTATTTTTATAATGTAAAGTTGAGAAAATATGTACATCGGCTCATCTCACTTTTAACAATTACCTTTAATTGTTTCCTCAACAACTTCTACCACACGATCTATCTGTTGAACCTGGAAAAGAAAAAACAAAGGCTTAGACAAGCAATGCACATGGAAAGGAAAAATTTGTGTTTATGTTTCTGCTTGAATCAACAGACATATTTTCCAAGTACATTAATGCATTTGGAGACATAAAAGTTTTTAGACTAATGTTTTATGTAAAAACAAAGTATGAAATTATCAACCTCATGACCTCCAGTGATAATTGAAGAAATCATACTGTATTTAAATAAACTGCCTGGAGTTAGTATAGACTATTCATATAAACTCAACATAACCTGAGATATAAATTTAAGATTAATTAAAGCCATGTCTCTTCCCACAGAGCTTCAAGCAAAGGGGTCTTAAACGATAACCAATACAAAGGGAAATGCTAGTATTAAGGAGATCTATCCCAAATTCTAGCCTTTATTATTTTAATTTTTAAAGTCTGTTCAATATATTTCTCCCATGTGCTCAGTACTATCCTCAGATCCAGGGATACAGGTCAAATAATAAAGCTCCAGCGCTCTATACATACCAGTGAGCAAGACGGCTTCTCAGGGTGCTGTTCAAACATAGACAAAAGGTAATGAATCGGACATAGGATACAAAGGTGACTTTTGAGTGATGACAGCAGAAGCCCACTAAGGAGACTGAGTAAGCATGGCTAGAGTTTAGAAGGAAATTGTAAAAAGCAAAATAAAATTATGATCAAAGAAGCTAAGGGAAGAAATTCAAGTAAGAATAGTTAAAGTTGATACTATAAAAATTCCCCAATTATCATTTGAGGAATACTTCTGTAATAAGAATTAAAGGAGAAATATATGTACCCTGAAAAAATTAAAGTAAAATCGAATGATAAACAGGAAAGAAAGCACCTATATCATCCTCCATCTTTTGTGTGTACTCTACAGATAAAATGGCTCAATATGACAAACAGATAGTACAATTTTTCTGGCATTAAACATTTTATATGTAGTTTATGTAGCATTTCTCTTTTTAACAATGATAGGGTAGATTATATGTATAAGAAAAAAGGGTGCAGGTATGTATCACCTATACAAATAGGCCTATGGTGCTCATTTTACTCGTTACCTAGTATCTCACTGAATGGATGTACCACAATACATTCATTCATTCATTCCCCTACTGGTGAAAGAACCCAAGTGAGATGAGAATTTTTTTAAAGAATTTATTAAAGACACAATAACAAATCTCTTAAAAGAATTCCTTCAGCCTCAGTGTTTTAAAGGAAAAGGTGACAAAACACACTCAAATGCTGTACTGTTTCTGACCACTCTGAGAAACTTGTTGGAGGTAAAATGAGAGGAGTGGGCAACTGTATCAAATGATACAGAGATAATAAGTAGCACCTGTACTAAAATGAATATGTTTTTAGGGGAGTAGACTGTAAGCTTAGGGAAAGAAGTGAACTCAGTATTAATATATCATAAATTTAAATATGGAGATAGTTTAATATAGAGTAACTGTTATCAAAAGCTGGGTAGGAAGGGAAGGAAAAGGAGGACTCTCAGTAGCTAGAGGAAACTGATTATATATGTGTTTGGGTTAGGTTGGTTCATTTAACTGTTTATTCTTATGGGGTTTTTTTTTCCTCCTGTGAGGAGAAAGGTGATAAAGAAAGAAAGAGGAGTTGGATAGGAGAAATAGTTAAGGTAATGAGGTCCCTCAGGAAGCAGACAGGAGAAGGTCTAAAACAGGTAAGGAAGAGAAAGGGGATTAGGAGGAGGGGGTTTAAAAGGGAGACATGAACTTTATCAAAGAATATTGCATGCATTTATGAAACTCATTATTTTGTATCATTATTATTATTAATACATCCTCTATAAGCAGGCTGTTTGGCTTTTCAAGACAAACAGGAGACTCCCTCCTATGCTGCCCCTGGGTGTAGTAATATTAGCCTCAATAAAAGACTTCTCCAGAATAGTCTTTTCCTACCTATATTAGTAGAACAGGCTAAGCTGGTAACGTGAAGACAAGACAGCAGAAGCAGCAGTATAGAAGCAGCATAGTAGTAGCAATGGCAAAGTTGTAGCAATGACAAGAGGGCAAGTGAAGAGACTGGCCAGGGCAGAGACCATGGGGAGCAGAGGCAGCAGAGAAAATGGGTATGGCAGAAGTAGAGAGAGCTAAGAAAGACAGAAGTCTGTAAAGAGCCACAGGAGAGAAACTGAAGGCCCCAGACACCAGAGTTCCAGAGAGCTGCCAAACCTTAATAGCCAAGGGTATAAGATACCCCAGGCCCGAGAACTGAAACACTAGTTGTTGTCAAGGGCTGAGGGTCCCCATACTCTAAGCTGGAGAGCTGTACACTAAGTGCCCAAGAACTCTAACACTAATTGCTGAGGGCTGAGGTGCTAGCAGCTTAGGCCTCTTCAAGAGTTGGAACACCAGGAGGCGTCAACTGCTGCTATCAGTTGCTGGCTACTCACTATAGCTGGAAACTGAGGATTGCAATAGCTGCCAAGTGCTGGGACTGTGGGTGATTAAAACAGTAAGACTCCAACCTGAGTACCTAGAGCTTCTAAAAATGGAGTGATAGGACTCTCTCAAGCTTGACAAGCCTCTGTGGTTGCAATTCCAGTCCCAGGGCCTTGAGCACTCAAGGGCCCAGGACTACCAGCATTGACAGAGCTCCTTGCCTACTTATGATTTCTATCTGGGTAGAGCATAAGGACCCCAGCCAGCTGACTGATAACAACTTCTTAAATATAACTAAAAAAGCACAAGCAACAAAAGGAAAATCAGATAAATAAGACATAATCAAAATTCAAACTTCCTGATATTTCAAAGGACACCATTAAGAAAGGAAGAAAACAATACAGAAAGTGGGAGAAATATTTTTACAAATTACTTATGTGACAAGGGCCTTATATTTATAATATATAAAGAACTTCCATTAAAATAAAAGATAGCACTAGGGAAGTGGTGGCAGGAAGATCATGAGTTCAAGGCCAGCTTTGAACTGTTATATAGAGAGTTCCTTTCTCAAAAATAGAAGACAGACAGGTAGATGATATAGATGATACACAGATAGATGACTGACAGATGGAAAGACAGATGACAGATAGATAGATGATAGAGACAAACCAATTAAAAATGGGCAAAGGATCTGAATGGATACTTCTCTAAGAAGTATATGATATGCAAGTAGCCAATAAACACAAGAAAAGATACTTGACATCATTAGCCAACCAGGAAATGCAAGTCAAAATCACAATGCAGGAATGCAGAATTATCATTTCATAGGTATACTTTTAATTTAGGAACATGAAAACATTCTGAAAATGGATGGTGGAGATGGCTGCAAAAAGTAAGAACGTACTTAGTGCCACCGAACAACATTCTATTCAAAAATGGTTGAAATGGTTAATTTTGTGTTATGTGAACTTTGCCACAGTTTAAAAACAAAAAAACAAAAATAGCAAGATGCCACTATATACCCACTATCATGGGTATAACAGAAAAGACACATATTAGTGTTGGTGAAGATGTAGAGAAATAGGAACCTTTATACATTAATAATGGATTTGTAGTAAAATGCAGCAAAGTTTGGAAAATAGTCTGGCATTCCCTAAAATGGTTAAACAGACAATCATCATATGATCCAGCAATTCTAATCTCAAGCATACACCCAAGAGAAATGAAACCTATGTCCACACAAAAATTTGGACACAAATGTTAGTAGTATTATTAACGATAAGTCAAAAGGTTGGAACACAGGTGTGTCCATCAACTGACGAAAGATAACCAAAGTGGAACATACCCATACAGCAACACAGATAAGTCCTAAAAGGCAATAAAGGAATGAGACATGCTACCACATTAGCTAAGTGAAAAGGCCAGGCAGAAGGTCATAGTCCTTTTATATGGAAAGTTCACAAGAGGAAAATTTATAGAGACAGCACAGGCTAGTGACTGTCTATGAATAGATGGGGGGACAAATGGGAGAGAGTGCTAAGGAGCTCTGGGTTTCCTTTGGAAGTGATGAAAATGTATTAAAATTAATTGTGGTGATGGGTAAACACTTTATGAATATGCTGAACACCATGGAAATATACATTTTAATTGCATGCATTGTATGACACATGAATTCATCTCAAGAAACCAAATGTGACTAAAAAAAAAGATGAAAGCAGTCAAATGTAGTAATGTGAAGGTCATTAAAATCAAGAAAAATTTGAGGAAATGTTCCAGATAAAAGACACCTGATAACTACGTGCAACCACGAACATCAGGGAATTTTTCTTTTCCTATAGAGGATGTTACTAGAAAATCTGACAATATCTGAAAAGTCTGCATACTACTTAGAGTATTCTATCAATGTTAAATTCCTAATTTTGATAATTACTCTATAGTGATGCAAGATAATATGCCTGCTTTGAAATATACAGGTATTTAGAAGAAGCACCATTCTTGCAACTTACTTTCAAAATACTGGAAAAAATGCATATAAAAATATAATAACTAGGTGTAGTGGCTCACACCTGTAATCCCAGTTACTTGGGAGGTGAGTTAGTGAGGATGGTGGTTTTCAGATCAGCCTGCCCAAAAAATTAGCAAGACCCATCTCAATCAATAAGTGTGGCATGGTTACACACACCTGTGGTCATCTACATGAGATGCCATAGATAGGAAGATTGTGGTCTGAGGCTGGACCCAGGCAAAAACATGAGATCTTACCTGAAATACAAAGCAAAGAAGGAGGCAGGGTGTGGTTCAAGTGGTAGAGCACTTGCCTGGCAAGCACAAGGCCCTGCGTTCGAACCCCAGTAACACCAACAAGAAAAAAATAATAATAAACAAACTTGCTAAAATATTAATATTTGAGAAATCAGGAAAAGGATTTAGGGACACTGCTTATTTTTGCAATGTTTCTGTTAACATGAAATTATGTCAAAATAAAAAAGAAAATTTGTGTGTGTGTGTAGAAGAAATGAAGAGAGATTTAGTTGAATGGACAAGTACAATTTTGCTGGAAAATATACCTTCTGATTTAACAAACATTT